AAAACCACCACCACACCAAAAGTTTAACATAATTTCCAGGAAGCAGCTCATGGTTGACGACATTGTCACACACACCATACAAAAGGGGAGAGCCCCTGCCACTGGTGGAAGTGCAATGTCTATTACCTGGTACATCCAAGCACACAAGTTTATGATTTGTGCACCTTCCTGCTGATTTAAAGGGCCTGGGATTTAAAGGGACTGACAGAGACTACCTTTGCTACCATTACTTTGCTGTCCGGCCCCTTTTGGTACCAAATACTGACCACGTTTTTGGATGCCATACATACTAATCCCCAAGACTGACCCGACTCATGAAGCATTGCTATGCAAAATACAAGCCTGTAATTCATGAGCATTAAGTCAGATTGCCTTGTTGCAGCAGACACAAGGAGAGGAGTGGAACAGCCTGGCCCACCAATAGGCAAGAAACATGCACCTCCAGCTTACTACAGAGCAGTGCCAGACAGGTGCACAGGGTGTGGTAACCTGTTACACCGGCTCACTGATGCATTCTACAGAGTGGAAAGAGTGAAACAGGCCTATGTACATAAGCAGCCTACATCAGACTGCAAACAATCAGTACTGCAAAGCCTTTAGGCAAAACCCATATACACAAAAAAAAAAAAAAAAAAAAAACTTCAGTTTTCTTGTGAAAAAGCCCTGTTGGGTCACACTTCTACATAGCAGGGATTTTAGCAAACTTTACTGCAAGTTCTTGCCTGCAGATGCTGAGTGCACGTGCTGCAATCTAAGCCAGAGCCAAGGAGGAGGGTCAGCATTCATATAATCATGCTATTAGTCTGAGTTTATGCTCCCTCAGCATATCTTTGGGTGCACAGCATATTATGCTACGTTATTGGATGGTATTAAAGGCTATTAGATGTCATGCTCTAGGAAAATCAGCTAATTACATGAACAGGTAGAGAATTGTGGGAAGATGTGATCGAAGCCAATTTTTCCACAAAGCCCAATTCCAAAAAGGTATTGCAACTGGTTTTCCTTGAACGTCTTCTACAACACATTTCATAACTTCAGCCATCAAACCAAGAGTTCCCTTAATCTTTCCTAAATGAAAGATACATGCTCTTTTGGAAAACTAAAGCAGGAGTGGACAAGTCTCAAACTAAAGGCAGCCAATGCGTCTAATACCGTATTTTTCGCTCCATAAGACGCACCTGAGGAGGAAAACAAGGAAAAAAAAAATTCTGAAGCAATGACTGCGGACACACTACAGGAGAAGACAACCAGAGAGTGTGGACCTTTGGGGGTAGGTACCTGAACCCACTCCCACTTCTGTGGAGTTGTCCTCCATCCCCCCCCCCCCCCCATAGTCTTGTGGAACACGTGACAAATCCCAAAAGACTGCGGGGCCATTCACAAAGCAAAGTGCTTCTCGCGCATGCACAGTGGGCACCAAGTTGTGAAGCCACAAGCTGTCACAGCCAGGAGCTTACATTGAAGATGCCAGTGCCAAGGAGAGAAGACAGCCCATGGAAGCAGGACACCGCTGGACCGCGGAACAGGTAGGACGGAGGAGCAGGTTCCTGTGTACAAAGAGCTGAGCAGCAGGTCCATAAGACGCACAGACATTTCCTCAACCCCCCCCCCCCTTTTTTTAGGGGAAAATATAGTATAACCGTATATAACAGTTTGCATAGACGCAATATTTCCTTAATAACTAGGAAGCATTTGCCGATTCTCACAATGGACTGACTGGTTCCTGAACACCACAAAAATCTGATGAACCCGAGCTTAATGAGGAGACAGCAGCCAATTGGAATCTGAATACTGCAGCACTGGTCACAGAATTCTAGCGGTATTGCCAAAGTACTGTCCATTTCTAAAGCCAAACCTCATACAGAGGGAATGGTTCATTTTTTCCCCCCTGTCTAGTTCTGAAGATTACCAGTTTATATGGGTCATTGTGGACTGGCCATACACTATACAATTTTCTGTCCAATTTCCTTTAGATTTACCTTCAACTGTGTAGTGCAAGGGCCTGACTAATTGGATACAACTGAAAGTGTTTTTTAGGTTTGACCTCCTATTATATGGTTTTTGGTAAATCTAAAGCAAAAATCTGAAGAAAACAGTATAATGTATAGCCAGCCTAAGACTCAAGAACTTTGATTAGTGAAGCTTACAATTGCTGGGAATGCCGTACACATGGGACATGATTGAACATCTGGTGAATAGGTCAAATTATAAAATTGCAGTAGATGTGGAAATAACCTGAGATCCCCTGGAAGAAAGCATCATTTCCCCAATCTGTCAATGTAGCACTCTAGTAGTGCAAATATCCTCCAATAATAGCCACACACTTAAGGGGGAGAAAAAAAATCCCAAATAATCAGTGCATAGAAAACCCTACACTCTGCAAATTGCTTGCATTTTCTTCATGCAAGTGGGTAAGCAACTGGATTGTCCCATGAATCAGTATCCCAAAGCCAACACTGGTAGTTTGCTGAATATCGGTCAGAATATCTGCTTGCTTGTAAATCCCATACGGCTAACATTCGGACAGGTCTGCAGAAGACCTGCATAGCATCAGTTATCTACTGATTGCTGGTACAATGCTTTCCAGGCTCCTGTAGACAAAATAAATGCACTGTAAAAAATAAAAAGTGCATTTATTATTTGTCTAACAGGTGAACTCAATGGGGCAACAATACCATGTTTCATGCAACACCCTAAATTTGTGCATTACGTGAAACATGGTCACAAAGATGAGCTACACCTTTAACCACTTAAGGACCACCCTATAGCAGATATACAGCTACAGGGCAGCACCTGTGCACAAAATCACATGTATACACACACACACGTGATTTTGCATTTCCAGTTAGGGGCACGCGAACCCTACCCGCGCCGCCATGGATATCAATCACCAGGTCCCGGCCGGTAATTACCCACCAGTGCCCGGTGATTACCGAACATCTCCAATGGAGAGGAAGATGGTTTTGTTTACAAACAATCTTCCTCCCTGTCAGCTTGAGCACACTGCTTGAGATGACTGCACAGTACAGCCATCCCAAGCAGTGTGCTTACAGTGAAGAACACACCCCTAGTAAAACAGCACACAGTAAACCCTTTGATTGCACCTCACATTAACCCCTTCCTGCCCAGTGCCATTAGTACAGTGTCAGCACTTTATTTTTAGCACTGATCACTGTATTGGTGTCACTGAGGATGTCAGAGACCAAGTTAGTTCCCCCCCAAGGGCCGGAATGCCCCCCACAATCCCACTAAAAGTCGCTGATGGCTGCCATTACTAGTAGACAAAAAAAAAAATCCCATTATCTATACTGCCATTGGTAAACGCTATCATTTTCACATAAACCAATTAATTTACACGTTTTGGAATTTTTTTTATAGCAAAGACATGTTGCAGAATACATTTTGGCCTAAATTTATGATGAAATTTGATTTAAATTTTTTTTTACTGGACATGTATAATAGCAAAAGTCCAAAATATTGTTAATCTCAAAATTGTCGGTCTTTTTTGCTTATAGCGTAAAAAAAATAAAACCGCAGAGGCGATCAAATACCATCAAAAAAAACCCAAAAAGATAATTGCATGACCGCGCAATTATCAAAGTAACAGCTCCGTAATGCAAAAAGTGGCCTGGTCATGAAGGAGGGTAAATCTTCAGGAGGGCAAGTGGTTAAAGTGAATTGCAGCACTTGTGTTTACATGCACCAGTATGCCTCATACCATGTGTTTCCATCGATTTCAATGCGCTCCTTAACATGTGTCCACTAGCATTATGGCACATGAGTGTGAACAGGTCCCAGCAGTCCTGTGAAGCTTTAGTAATGGAATCATTGTGGACAATGGTATGCAGATCACAAAAGTTATTTTTAAACCTATTAAAAAATAAATATTTAATACCAAACAATACAAAAGGATTTAAAGAATTAATGGAGCCACCAAGACCAGCACTCAGCAGACTTTGGACAATACACATCAGAAGTTTTGTCATGCCTGGGCAAGGTCTGAGAATCTTGATGTTATGGCTGCATTCACACTTGAGCAAACTGTAGCTTGAAGCTCCAAAGATGCTCAAACTTGGAAAAAAAAAAAAAAAAAAAAATATATTGTTCTCTATGGTACCTGTTCACACCTGATTGAACGAACAGGCACCACAGAGAACAATTTTTTTTGTAGGATAGAGCATTTATGGAGCATTGAGCTTCAAGCTACAAATGGCTCAAGCGTGAATGCAGCCTGAGGCTCCATGCACACTAGCATTATACTCTGCTCCTAGAAACTGTTATTGGCATTTACTTTTCTGCTTATAGAAGTTAAGGAGTGTTATCCTACATGTTCATGCACACCATTTTAGGCTAGAAGCGTTTTTTCTCAAGCCTAAGCGTTTAGCACAGAAAAAAATATAAATATATTGGTTTTTGTATAGTTTTTGGGAGAGTTTTGCCAGAGGAAAAAGACTTTGAATGCCCCTAAACTCACAGTTTTTTTTATTTTTTAAAGCAGAGGCCACAGGAGTCCTTGACCAGTGAATAGCTGGTTGTCAAGGAGCACGTTGACAACCCAGCTGCCTCACCATTAACAGAGGAGTCATCAGCTGCCAGCAGGGTTCCCCACTGACAATTGAATGTAAACAAACTGCCAGCTAAAGACAAGAGGTGAAAGGGGGGGTACCCCCTAATTCATACCAGGACCTTTGGTTCTAGTATGGATTTTAGGAGAACCCCATACCAAAAAACTAAAAAGTGCCGTGGGGTCCACCCCAAAATTCATACCAGACCCTTATCGGAGCATGCAGCCCAGACCAGAAGGCCGCACCCTGGTGACATCATTGACCCAGCATGCCTCAGTTGATGACATCACAAGGGGGCAGGGTGTAGCCCCACCCCTTAGTTATTTAAAGCGGAGCTCAACCCAAAAGGGGACGTTCCGCTTTAAGGACTGCTCCCCATTAAGGATTGGCACCTTTGGGGGGCAGGGGAAACGGGTACCCAAATTTGACAGGTACCCGCTCCCACTTTGATTGCCTAGGTGATAAGAAGGTATCCTCCGTCCATCCCTGTAGTCTTTTGGGACATGTGACAGGTCCGAGAAGACTACAGGACCATTCATGAAGTGCAGCGCTACTCACGCATGCGTAGTTGGTACCCGGCTGTGAAGCCACAAGCTGTCACAGCCAGGTGCTCACACTGAAGATGCCGGCCTCTTGGAATACAGGACAGCCAGTGAAATGGGCTGCGGGGAACACCGCAGGACCAAGGGACAGGTAAGTGGCTGTTTTTTCAAAGTTAGCAGCTAGTTTTTGAAGCTGTGGACTTAATTTTTGACAGGGCAAGTAGAACTCTGCTTTAAGAGCTGTCAGCTGGACGCACCTCCATCAGACGCGGAGCTCTTTTATTGGAGGCAAGCGACCGGCATTCACCATGACTGACATTGCCTCTTTGGGGGGGGGGAAGTTTATTTTTTGTTTAATAAAAGGACTTGTCAAAAACTGGTGTTTAAACCCCCTTTTACCACTTTTTGTGACTATACCCCATACTCATTTACATGGAAGGGGCAGGAAAAAAAGGGGGCTTCCAGATCCTGATAAGTCATTCCCTCGCACCAGCACTGGCCAGGATTGTAGGGAATTGGTCCCCTCCTCATCAACATGACTGAATGCTGGATGGTGGTGGGGGGGAGGCCTGCTCAGATAAGGGTCTGGTATGGATTTTAAAAGGGGGACCCCACTCCATTTTTTTTTTTTGCAAATTTTGGCGTTAGGTTTCTATTAAAATCTATAGCAAGTCCGAGGGACCTTGTATGGATTGGGGGGGTGGTAGGGGTTAAGTAGACAATACTTGTTTACATTCAGCTGTCAGGGGTAAGCGAGTCACAACCTCCACCTTTCTATAGCAGAAAACTGAATCACAAAGGAAAATCAGTTTCAACCATTACTGGTGATGACTGGAGGAGTGTCTCCAGTCTAAACACAATCAATTTCCAATCCCAATGTTAACTGCCGATTTGATGGCAACTGTTTCCATGGGTCAGCTACGACATTATTGAAAACATCCCCCATACAGTTTCGTAATAATCTCCCTACCAGTCTGACTGACCATTGGCCCATTTATCAGATTTGTACACAGTGCAACGAGCCAGATTTGCCCATACAGAACAACCAGTGCCTAAAGTTGGGTGGTTAACCCCAAATTATTGCCCTCACTGGAAAGGTTAGCAGCTAGCTACAGGGGCCCCCATCCTCCCACATCATCCTCACACTGACTCCATGTAGCACAGGACCAACATAAGGATCCTCCAGGAAAATATCAGGGCCCCTCAAAGCCAGGGGCCAGATAGCACAAGCCATCAGGCCCTTATTACTCTCACACCATGGGCCCTAGAGGGTTCCACCCACTGCAACACCAGAAGCCTTTCTGGGATCCTCTAGGACCCACCCCCCCCAAACAGAAAAGAGGGTCCCAAACAGAACTGCCAATTCCACAGGAGACTTCTAGGCAACTCATGATTTACTGGGTTCCCTTCCCACCCCACACTGTACTCCCAGAGGCTCCACCTTCCACACCAGGCTCCCAGGAGCCCCATTTCACCACCACACCATGCTCCCAGGGGCCCCCGATCCACCCCCATACCATGCTCCCATGGGAGCTAAGCAGTCCACAGGGAACCCTGTTGGAATTCAGAAATCCAATGCCCCCCTCCATTCACAGACTCCAAAGCAGAGAACACGTAAGGGTCCCCATACCTGCCTTCATAAACCTGTGCGCCCCCCACACAAACAGATCTCTGTACTCTTCAGGGGGGCCACGAAGCCTCCGAGCATACCCTGCAGTAACACAGGGGCCCCTCGCACTACAGTAATGAAGCACCCCAGTGACCCGACACACTGTTTTCCCCGGATAAGTCCCCTACACCGGCCACTCACCGTCTACTTCTCCGGCCCAGCCAGTCACAGCTGCATTCCTCTCCGCTGCAGGCAGCACTCAGGCCGCTCCGGAGACTCCCAGGGGCTCTTTAAATACGATCTATAAATACTCCGGCCGCTCTGCCTGACGTCACTGCCAATCCGATCCGGCCATTGGCCGACGGGAGTGCGCTCTGCTCCGAATGCCACTCCTCTCCGCTTCGGCGTCCCCTCCTGCTGAGCTGCGAGCCACGCCTTCTAGTAGTGCCGGGAGGGAGCGTGCACTTGCACTTTACCAGGTACGAGAGCGCGCCGAGGGCGTTTGCGAGGTGAGGCGGGCGCGAGCACTAAGAACTGAAAGGGACGAAAACCGCCTGTGGGAAGAGCTGGTATTGGCTCTTCCCACATAGTTCATAGTAACTAGGGGCGGACTGACAACTCATGGGGCCCCTGGGCAATAGGGGATCATGGGGCCCCTGTGTCTTTGGCCAAACTCAAAAAAGCCTATGAAAAAGGTACCAGGGGCGTCTCATGGGGCCCCCTACTGACCCCGAGTTTGCAAATAGTTCGCCCTGATAGTAACCAATTACAGTGTCACTTCTCAGGGGACCTAAAACGAACATGTCACCAGTAAAACTACTTTGTAGTGAAGAAAGGAGCTGACTTGGAGTTGAGGATACATTGAAATGTAAAGAGGACCTGTAACCAGTGAGAGTATGACAGAACAGGTGATCGGCCTGTGAGCTGGGTGCAGCGTTGTGAACACTGAGTCCACAATAGCAGTCTAGTGTAGAACAGTTCAGCAAGTATAAACATTCCCGGAAGGGGGGGGCACACCCATGGGGGGGGCACACCCATCTGGAGTCACAACTCTGAGCAGCAGAATGAAGAATGGAAGATGCGTCTGCCAGGAGCAGCAGAATGCGCCTGGCCAGTCCACACCCAAATCGGTGGGCTTCCTGGAGAGGTAGACTTAGTCCCTGCACTGTCCCTACTCTGGAACCTTTCCCTGTTTCTAAACACTGTCCCTGAGATCCCTTCACTAGCCACTCACCAAAAGCATTCCAAACATGCGAGCCAGAGTCTTACGTAGACTGTGCCTGACCCAAGATGGCTGCCAAAGTCACATGGAGCATCTGCATCCAATCAGTAGCGGCTCTCCTGTGACCAAGGAAATCAGAGAAAAACCAAGTTCCCCTCAATTTCCTCCCCCAACTGCATTGCAACTGCAGGCAAGCACCACCTGCAGTGGAGAATACAGACTACAGCTGCCTACATTCCTCCTTCTTTGACAGATGCTGTCTTCAACATTGCAACATAGTAAAGAAAAACACATAACTGCATGAAACATAATTACAGTAATAACAGTAGCATTTCAAACAGCATAATCAGAGTATTTGGCAGGGAGTTGTCCATGGTTGGATCACACTGGGCTGCAGACCTCGTCGTCCATGGGATCACCTTTGGAACATTCATGTTCTGCTTGTGACTCCAGAGCCTTGGGTGGTTGGGGGTCCACCAGGTCAGCTACACCCCCTTCACTCGAGAAGGCAGCTGAGTCCTCTTAAGAGTCCAAGGAGTCAGCAGGACTAGCAGTCACTAAGACCAGAGTCTCAGGAATGTCCGTAGGTCAGTCAAAGGTGTTCTCTTCCCTCCAGAGTCAACAATTGATGGAGGCCCAGGTTCAATGGGAAGCAGGTACCATTCAAACAGGACTTCCAGTACAGGAGGAATATCCGCAGGGTCATCGACCTTTCTGTCTGCGGCCACCTGGTCCCCGGTTGCAACAGCAGTTCATCTATGACAGCATCATCAGTTAGGTCCTTATGTCAGCCCAGAATCAACTGCTTGGCTTGCTGTAGCTGGTCCCAATGCTCTTACACCCACATACTGGACATGGAGGAAGTGGGGTCTTCTGGGGAGATCAGCAGGAGTTCTACAGGTAACTGGCCCTAACATCAGAACATTAAGAAGCACAGAGTATGGCCCATGGCTTTATGTACCATGTTGTAGGTTCAAACCATAGCCCCTACATGCTGATGCCAGCGGTCTCTGTGGCCCTTTTTGAGAGTCCATAACATTCCCAGCAAGGTGCAGTTGAAGCACTCACAGGTCCCTTTGCCCTGAGGGTGGTAAGGGTGTGGTATGCAACTTTCGAATACCACTTAAGCGGCATGCAACTTGACCATATGCTTCCAAAACAGTTTGGCCGTAGTTGGGGCTGTCTTGTCTATGGTGGGCACTACCACAGTGAACTTAGTGAAATGGTCCATGAAGACTGAGCATAGCAGAACCTGGAAGAGGAACTAGTAACCATCAGAAAGACTATCATACCAGTTCAAAGGGTTCTGAACTTTGGAGTCATAACTATTGGGGTAGTCTTTTTGGGAGAATCTTTATGCACGGCCCAGACTGCACACTCCTGTCAAGCCCGTTGCACCTACTCTGTGAATTGTGGGCAAAAAAAAATACCTTCTGACCAAAGCTTTGGTTCGATTGGCCAAAAGTGCCCTCATGAGGCATGTAGCACTTGACATACCTTGAGGATATGTGACTAGGGGACCAAAACTTGCAGAATGTCCCTCTGTTCAGTGGTGATACGTGCCTGTCAGTACAGTATATTGTCCCAGGATGAGACAATCCCACTGCCTCAAGATTGCGCTTACTGTGTCAGACAGCTTCTGGCATTCTCACAGGATGGCCTGTGCCATCGTGACAGGTAACACTGTACCTGTATGAGGTCGGAATCCTGCTGGATCAGAATGTAGATTTCAACAGGTCCATCCTGGGAAGCTGGTTGATGACTCCTGAGTGAGTGCGTAGAGGCAGCCACGGGCAGAATGGGTGCCACCTCCAGGTCCTCCCAACCTGTTCTTTCCCAATATATTGATTGGTTGTCCAGCAGCCTACATCAGAGACTCGCTCCGTTTGCTGGACACCCTCAAATATTACTCCTGGGTAGATGGATACAGCAGGTTATCACTGGATGTAAATTAATTATACACGTCCATCCTCCACAAAACTGAGTCTCAGAGCGTTAGAATATTTCCTAAATTCAGATAGTTGATTACATCACACAAAGGTTCGGTTTGTTCTGGACACAACCTGGTTTTGCCTGGAACACAAATATTTCATGTTTGTTGGGGAATATTATCTTCAAACCCGGGGTACAGCTATGGGTGCAAGTTTTGTGATGTGCTACGCAAATGTAACTATGGGTTTTTGGGAGCAATCATTCATTTGGAACAATAGCCCATATTCGTATAATTTTTTTATGGTTATATTACATTATAGTCATGTAGGACAGTTCCTCTTCTATGTCATCCTTTGTGGACTATTACAACAATAA